TAAATGAAATTGGGATGTTTTAGAGGTCTTTCACCAACAAAAATAGTTTGTACTTTTTTCAAAAATACCAGTTAAGAAGAAGACAGAAATCATGCATGGAAAAGGATCAAATGTAATTGGATTATACAAACAATAACATTAGATATTTATTTTGAAAACCCTTTATTTGGTTTCTCCATAAAAGTAAAGCATTTAGAAATACTTCCCTGTTAAATTTCATACCAACCACATGCTCATTCTTACCTCATTGTGTGGTAGGCCAGCAGCAGAAAAGATAGGAATTTTCTGCCCCCTGGCAATGCTGTTCATGCCATCTATGGCCGAAATGCCAGTCTGAATCATCTCCTCTGGATAGATTCGACATTGAGGATTGATTGGCTGGCCTAATACATTTCCAAAAGAGAAAATTTTAGTATGTCTGGACATTATTTGGGAATGGAAGAAGAAATCAGATGAAAAGAAAAACAAAAAGGAGATAAGAAAAGATCAGAACGGTATAAAGCATATCTTTCTACTTTCAACCTGAAACTGTTGAAATAATTATTTCCCAAGAGTCTTTTGTAGCTTCACAAAATACATGGTAGCGGAACAAGTTCCTCAAGTTAAATAGGGGTAAAATAAATAAGACAGGAATCCTTATTTCAAAGCCATGTTTTTATCACTTACATTTCAGATAGTCTGTAGTGATATTTTACAATGTTCTAAGATAGTACACGTAAAGACACGGAAGATCTTTACATTTGTAAAGATGGTCTCTAGGAAAAATAAATTACATATAGAAATAGTCTAGAAAATTATTAGTAAAATGTTGAGTATCTACTTAGAACAATATCTCTCTCATACACACGCACAAAACAACAGCGACAAAAAACAGTATCTCGTAGAAGTGTAATATAGATAGAGGCTATTTTACCCAAAACACAGAAATCCATTTACTGCCCCTACCCATGATGTCAAGGAAGTCTTCAGCCAGCACAACTGGGCCTCTGTCAATGGGTTTTCCTGATCCGTTAAATACTCGGCCTGTAAAACAGTAATGAGACAGAGTGGACACTGATTTTCAGATGTTCATTACTTTTCTTGACTTTATGGAAAAATGTTTAGAAGGAAACAAGATCTCTGCTCAGAAGAATAATTATATCCACTTACCAAGCATATCCTCAGACACCGGTGTTCGGAGAATATCTCCAGTAAACTCACAGGACGTTTTCTTCGCATCTATACCTGAAGTACCTTCAAATACCTATCATCGAAGAGATGTAATCAGAAATTTACATGGGTACTTAAATTTTACCTCTGTTAAACAGCCCATATAAAGTGAAATACATAAACAGACACTACATTAAAACAAGGAACAAAGAAATGTTCATACTGATAGACCAAATTGTTAATCTTTTGACTAAGGGTTGGCAAGCTATGCCTGCAGGCCAAATGTGACAGGCAAGTACAGGTTTTTACATTTACAAATGGTTTTTTTTTTAAAAAAAAAAAAAAAAGGAAGAAAGAAGATTATACAACAGAGATCTTATGTGGCCTCACAAAGCCTAAAGTATTTACCATCTGGCCTTTTATAGAAAGTATGCCAACCCCTGCTCTAAACTATTTTTTAGGGGAGGAGCAAATTATTTGAGAAAACTGGCATTTGTCATAATTGAGTTAACATTAAAAACTAGGAACTTTAAGAAACAATTTAAAGGAACAGACTCCTCCCTCAGATATCATTTTGGTTTTAACCCATTAACCAGTGAATTCTGTTTTTCATGTCTCTCCTTCTATGTGACTTTCCGCTTCATTTTATCCACTGAAAAAAAAGCCATTTTACTAGTGGAGCTATTAGGCTAGAATGAATATAGGTAGCTGATATTAGACCAAGAAAAAAAGGAAAAATAATA